CATGTATGCTTTATTTCGGTTTTAGCCATATGCATTATTTCGGTTTTTGTTATATGCATTATTTCGGTTTTCTAACGAAAGTGTGCATATGGATAATTTCGTTTTTTCTAATATGAATTATTTACTTCTACTTAGTAAGGGTTTTAATCCCTAAGCGCGGCTGAAAGCCGCCAACGCAGAGAAAAGTTCTGCGCAAAAATACGTCCGCCCTTCTTTTCCGGCAATACAGAAAGGAGAATTATACTTAGTAAGGGTTATAATCCTTAAGTGCGGCCGAAGGCCGCCTACGCAGAAAGAAGTTCTGCGCAAAAATACTTCCGGCCCCCTTTTCCGGCAACACAGAAATGAGAATTCTACTTAGTAAGGGTTATAATCCTTAAGTGCGGCCGAAGGCCGCCTACGCAGAAAGAAGTTCTGCTCAAAAATACTTCCGGCCCCCTTTTCCGGCAACACAGAAAGGAGAATTCTGCTTAGTAAGGGATATAATCCCTAAGCGCGGCCGAAGGCCGCCTACGCAGAAAGAAGTTCTGTGCGAAAATACTTCCGGTCTCCTTTTTCGGCAACACAGAAAGGAGAATTCTACTTAGTAGGGGTTATAATCCCTAAGCGCGGCCGAAGGCCGCCTACGCAGAAAGAAGTTCTGCGCAAAAGTACTTCCGGCCCCCTTTTCCGGCAACACAGAAAGGAGAATTCTACTTACTAAGGGTTATAATCCCTAAGCGCGGCCGAAGGCCGCCTACTCAGAAAGAAGTTCGTTTTCATGTATGCATTATTTCGGTTTTTGTCATATGCATTACTTCAGTTTTGAGTCGAAACTGTGCATGTATGCATTACTTCGTTTTTCTCATATGCGTTATTTCGGTTTTCAAACGAAAGAGTGCATATGCATAATTTCGGTTTTTCTAATATGCATTATTGCGGTTTTCAACCGAAACTGTGCATATATGCATTATTTCGGTTTTTTTCATATGCATTATTTCGTATGCACAGTTTCCATATGCACAATTTCAGGTTGCCCTGCTGTGCAGCTTAGTCGCAAACTTCCCCAGCGACGCCGCCACCCACTACCACCATGGGGCAGCACCCCCTTCAGCCGCGCATACAGCATGGGGCCGGCAGGCAACATAACTCCCTCACACTCCACATTGCATTCAGTCTCTCAAGACACACAAAGATCCCACAATTAAATTGCAATGGACTTCATAGCCAAATCGAAGAGATAACCGTCTTCATGGGCCGGCATGGATTATTTATAGTTGCGGTCCAAGTGACGAAGTTGCACTGCAATTCAGCACCGTTGAATTTCACCGTAGACAATGTACACCGTCGAGATCGCGAGCGAAATAATGGTTGTGGCCTTGATTGCATCACGCAACACAGCGTGCAGTATCGTCTCATCGAAGCAGACATCGACCGCAGGGATACCATTCTAGAATATCATGGCATTGCTTTCCGGTCAGGCGATGTCGAGCTCGAAATATTTGGCGTTTATATACTCTCCTTCTCCGGCTTCCCGGCAGGATATCACCCTGAAATACTGGGTGTGCTCCTTAGAGGTGAAAACCGTATGGTAGTCGGTGATGCGCATGAGGATCCTTGGGAGTCAAGCATATCGAATGATTGTAGGGGAATACATTTAGCTGAGCATATAGATGATTCGCCGTTAACACATTGAACGAAATCACATCCACCAAGATTATGGCAGTTTCAGTAGTTCGCCTGACGAAACAATTGTAAACGCTGGTGTGATAAGCAGCAGTACGGGGCGACCTATGCTCATAGCCATCTTTGTCGATAAACCTACCGACTTTGCTTCCGCGAAACACTTAAATCTATATAAACTTTTCCAAAGCTGATTGGAACTGCTTCGCGGAAGTTGCTGAAAGCACATTCTCTGCCCTTCCCACACCAACCGACGTTCACTTAGGTGAGCGTAACTTCCGCAGCAATGTCACTGCTGCTGCAGCCTTCTTCATTTTTGCTGGATGTACTTCGGATCCCGTGCTCTTACTGAGGAATGTGACAACCTCCGCCAGGCCGACTCCGGAAATACCGAGATTCAGCAACTTTTGAACGTGCACAAGCAGAAGGAGTTGGTAGAGCATCTTAAGACGACTAACATCACGTCTGGTGTGAGCAGGTTTTGGTCAAACGTTAGTCCAATCCAACGGAGCGTAATGACAAAGTCGAAATCTCTTTCGGCGACCACGCTACTTCAACCAACAGTTTACGATGCATCCTCCGGTAGACAAAGCCAAACGTCGAATGACCAGAAGGCTGCACAAACTGCCGACACTAGTACGCCTCTTGCTTTCACCAGCGGTGAGGTTCGGGTAGCCATCGGGAAGACAAAAAACTCCAAAACCTAAAGATCCTAATATGCGTACTGATGCTGAAAAAGATTGGGCCCTTGCTACTCCCGCACTATACGAACCACCTGACCCCAGCGAGGTATCACCATGGGTAATGTAAAGTTCGCAAGACAAAAACAGCACTTAATGCCATAAATACCCAGATAACTCGTAGCCTAAACCGAAACTGCTCCTGCGAGAGAACAGCCCTAACAGAGTTGGATCTGTCAGAGGTGGTGTTTGACGCCGTCTGTTCCTCCACGCTACTGAAAGACATTTAGACTTCTCTCCAACTGGGATTCAAATGGTGGTCAGCGACTTATCTGAGTGGTCGACATGTGTAAGTAATTTTCAGAGACAAAACCAGCAAGCCAAAGAAAATGAAACAGGGAGTTCCACAGGGTAGTGTCCTTTTCCCACTGCTATTTAATTACAACATCTTAAAGCTCCCTCAACCACCAGAGGGAGTCTCACAGGTCACACTGCGCCGATGGCGAAGCCGAAAACCCTCGGAATTACCTTCGACAGTTTGCTCTCCTTCTCGACACATACAACCGCAGTTGTCAGTAGAGTACAGAGCCGCAACAAGGTTCTTAAGTCGCTAGCGGGCAGCGCAAGGGGCAAATACAAATGAACGTTGTTGGCAATTGACCGGCCGGTTCTAAACTATGTAGCGCCCGTGTGATTTCCGGGGACAAGCAGGATGCAGTGAGCTACAGGCATGCCAGAACACGATACTTTGGACCGCGACTGCATGCCCTCTGATGACGCCACAACACCACTTACACAACGAGGGCCAAACACTCCCCATCAAGGAGCATAACAAAATGCTCTACATGCAGTTCCTAGTAGGATGCCACAGATGCGGGCACCAGAACAGACATCTGGTTGCAGCAGACCGTTCGCCAAGGCATGTAAAGAGGCATCTATACGAACTGACGGACGAGGTCCAGAGGTTCAGAAAACAATCTCTGCACCAGACAGCATACAGTTTTGGGTATGCCTCGGGAGACTCGCACGAAAATAGCCCAACAGTGTGGACAGATCCTGTGTAAGTTAAATCTAAACATCGCGGCGTATAGGCAACTCCTTTTAGTGATGTGGAAAGCCACTTTTAAGTCAACAAATAGATGGTAAGTGTCGATTCTTTTCTCGCGGGGTTTTTCTAAGATTTGGCGTATTTTGAATACCTGGTCTATGGTAAATTGATCAGGCCTGACGCCAAGCTGATAAGGCCCAATCAGTTCGTTGACGGTGGGTTTCAGTCTTTCATACAATATGCTCCATAAGACCTTGTCACCTATGTTTATAAGGCCGATACCGCGGTAGTTGGCGCGATGTAATAGATTGGACAGAGCACACCTAAAATTCAGCCATAGGGCATGCGCTCATCTGACCATATTTTGCATAAGAGTTGATGCATGCACCTTTTCAACTCCTCGCCGCCGTATTTGAATGCCTGCCAGAGGCCGTCGGCTCCAGCAGATTTTTTGTTTTTCAGCCGCGTTATCGCTATTCGTATCTCGTCATAGTCAGAGGGTACGACATAGACGCCGTCATCATTGACTGGGGGCTCTGATTCGTACCCGGCGCACGTATTAAATATAATTTTTCACCTTTGTGAAAACTACCATTGCATGGTAAGCAGGGTTGGTTTTACCCCCATTTCAAATATATCGATATTCTCAGCTAAACTTAATGATGGCGGCCAATTGTACAGAGCCAGCTTAAACTCGCAGATCACAGGCACCTCCCCAACATGCGGAAATGGACCGGCCAACACCGCGTACCCTTTCGCATTCGGGGACTATGGGCTTCTACAAGAACAACAACTTCTTCATATTGAAAACCGGAGAGAAGTGGAAGAATTTTCGATAAGCTTGCGTATTTTTAAACAAACTGTCATTGCCGTATTCAAAAGCAACAACTTTATTAATTACAAATTCACTTATCGCAAGCACTAGCTTAAATTCGCTTAAAACTATAAGTGCACATGAATGCAATACATACATACATACAAAAAATTAAATTTTTTTACTTAAAACGATTTTTTCATTACAAAAAAGCGTATAAATCGTACAAAATATCGCTTGTGGCGCCACAAAGGCATCACATATCTTTCTTACAATTTTTTTTTCACAAAAATAAAAAAATTTTATTTAAGCATACAAAACCACTTTTTTGACTTCAAATCCTCAAGTTTGTGGGTATACAAAAAACAATCGAAACACACATTTTCGAGATGTTACCAATCATTGTTTAACTCTTTTCAAAATTTTCACTTCCGTTTTCATACAAACATGCAAATACATATATACGCATGTATGTATTTAGTTACAAATGCGTAACGTCACCAATGCTACAGCAATACATAACAGCAAATAGTATATTTGCAACGACTATTTACTTTCAAATATTGGCCTGTAAGGACATTTACGACGAAGACGATGACGATGACGACGTCGAGGATGACGAAGTCGTTGTATCCGACGAATCTGTTGATGTGCTCTCCGAAGTGCTGCGTGATCGTTTGAGACGTTTCAATTTACGCTCCGAGATCACCTCATAAGTGGGCAATGTCGAATTACTGGAATCCGATGAACTGCTCGTTGTTGTAGACGAACTGGAGCTGCTTGTCTCCTCCAAGACGGGTTCAATTTTTGTCGGTTTTCTGCCGATGGCAAAAAGAGCAAAAAACAAAAAAACACATTTTCAATTGACGTACATGAGCTCAGCGGCGAACCTTTCTATCAACCAACTTTTTCTTGTTCTTCTTATCCGATTTTTTACCGCCGCCGCCACCGCCGCCGCTGCTCCCAGCTGTGGCGCCACGTTTTGACTTCTTCGCTTCAACAATGTCACTCTCAATGGATGAATTGCTGCGATCGCGTTTCTTCGACTTTTTGCCAGCCTTCTTTTCCTTTTGACGATTGTTGCGTTCGTCCACTAATTTTGTAGAGTAGAGATTCTGCGAACTAGCTGTGGAGTAGCCGGTATCCTTGCGCTTATGTTTCTTCGATCTTAAATAACAAACACAAAAACAAAGAAGAAGAAAAAGAAAGCGAAAATGTACCATTAAATTTTTAGAATTTCTGTAACTGTAATTTGGTAAATTAGTATAAAAACGCGCTCACTTATCCTTTTTGTTCTTTTTTCGCGTAATGAACTCATCTTCGGCATAATCGCGCGCTCTGAAAAAGTTCAAGATTGGAGCATAAACACATATGTATGTGCAAGTCTATGCAAGATACACTTTTTGAAATTTTGTATAATTACTTTTGTATCTTTCGCTTGACATCAGTACCACGCTCAGTGGATATCATGTAAATGCTGTTAGCATCAGCATCTTGGGCGCGGCGACGCGACTTATAATGTTGTGACTTGTCGCCTCCGGACTTTTGTTCGCGACGATTCTTCCAGAACTCGGCATTTACTACATAGAGACGATAGAGCTGCAGCACAATTACCAAGGTGTTTTTACCTAAAATAGTACAATAATAATTAAACTATTGGTTGCGGTTTTTGAAAAATACTTTTGAACAATAAAAATAGTATATGTACGTAAAAGATTTTGAGCATACAAAAATTACGCAAGCATGGAATGAAAAAAATTTCAATGGTTTAACATTTTCGTTACAATTGATGACTAAAACTTCAAATTAACCGGACTTCTACCTACATAAGTCTTCATAAATACTTGTATGTTCATAAGTGTATCGGTTTTTAACATAGAGGGGGCCTTCAACAATCAAATTATGTCAGAGACCGAACATAAGAGTTATTGATGAAAACTGTCATTGTTCTACAACTATGTGATACATACACATCAATTTATTTTTTCACCGAGAATCAAATTTTAAAATAAATTTTTATTTGAAACTTTTATGCAAAATTAAAAAAATAACAGTTATTTTTGATTTTTATTTTACAAGTCCAAAATTACAATTGTTTTTGATTTTTATCTAAATAATATCTAAATAACAGTTATTTTGGATTTTTATATTATATGTCTTAGATAACAATTATTGAAGACTTATTTACAAAAGTCATCAATAAAAATCAGTCACCGACTTTTTTTTATATCATACGTTTAGAAGTCATTATCATTTTTCGCAGTTAAGAAGGTGTTGGAGAATCAAAGTTTCTTACGACTTATACAAATGACTTTTATAAATATGATTTTAAAAACAGAAGTCAGTGACTGATTTATATTGATAACTTTTATAAATAAAAGTCCTTGGTAACTATTATCTAAGATATATAATTTAAAAATCAAAAATAACTGTTATTTGCAGATTATTTAGATAAAAATAATTGTTATTTTGGATTTATAAAATAAAAATCAGAAAAAACTGTAATTTAAGGAGTAGTTAAATAAAAGACAAAAAATAATTGTTGAAGAGTGATATTTTTAATAAAAGTTGTAACTGTTACTGTGTCTGGATTAAATAACTCCTACCAGTGCTGACGAAATTATTATTCTTTTCCAAATGAAAATTTTATAGCCATCCGTAAAATTTGAATAATATGTAATTAAGCAAAAAAAATATATAAAAAAATCAACATTGTAGAATCTTCTCAACAAATGCGGCAGCGTACTCTCTTTGGGCATAAGAACACATCTACATTTGTGCCTTCACAAACCAGTCTTCTCTGTACCATAACGCCACCTATTTCTTATATGGTTTTAAATGCCCTTAGGCTAAGTTTGAAGATTTATACAAACATTAGGTGCATACTTCTCAAAATGTCAAAATACTCGCAAATTTTACGTTTTTATTACTCTAAAAAAATATAAAACGACAGGAAAAACTTTCAGGTGAAGTCTCTTTCATTGGAGTAGAGGCAGGATAGTCGAGGAGAATTCCACTAAAATCTATACTGACGGGTCCGAAATAGACTGCGGAGTGGGTGCGGAGGTTTTCTTCGAAACGTTGAATGACTCTCTTTCTCTTTCCGACTGCCGAACTTTGCTAGGATCTTCCAAGTGGAAGTACTGGGAATCGAAAGGTTGCCAGGCGGCACTTCTAGCACTTTCCTCACCGGTAACAAAGTCCAAAACATTCAGAGATTGTAAATGTGCGTTAAGCTCGACGACCGAGTTAATAGACATCTCCCGCATCTGGGCTCCCGGCCATAGGACCATATACGGAAATTAGAGGCCTGACGAGCTGGCTAAGATCGGAGCATCTCTTGATGAATCCGAAGTAGAGCCGATAAACCGTCCACTCGCACTCATAAAATGGGAACGGCATTTGCAATTCGCACATATGGCTGATGCACGATGGAACATACGGCCGCATTATGATAGACTAAAGACAGTAGAACTTCTAAAGAGGTCAAGGAAAGATATGGTCAGTTTAACAGCCACGATAACGGGACATTGGCCCACTGGAAAAAATGCAGTCAAAATGGGCCTTCCGTATAACCCTCGGGGCCGTAGCTGTTAACTGGAGAGAAGTAAGGAAACGATCCTGCACTTCCTTTGGGAGCGCCCAGCATTGGCACGACACCTCTGAAAGTGAGAGGCCCCCACTGCGATGGAAAGACAAAGGTGAGAAGGACTTGGCTTCACTTGGCGAATTTCCATTTGGCGTCGGTTGGCACAGAATAGAAACGACTGTAGAGCTCGGGCAAAATCGTTTAGGCGGCTACAGCGCCAACTAAGAAGAAGAAGAATATTGTATATGTATATATTTTCTATTATTACCATGAAAAAAGCACCTAGAACCACGCCTACGGCAGCGAACTACACACTGCTGTGCCTTTCGCCGGGCAAAAATAGAACATTCAAAAATGTTGCAAGCTTAACGTCACGGGGCCTACGGTCACAGTAAGTAGTATGGCGTCCACCCTTTCTGGACAAATAGGCTACGTGATTCCGTATCTGTACTTTTGGGGTGAATATGAATGCTACTATTGGGGTTGAAGGCTGGCGGAAAGATACGAGGACCGCACGGAAGTTAAACTTAGCAAGTCTTATTGCCTGCTGGCGTATTGTACAGCCTGCTGGCATATGCTGATGATGTTATCAGGGCCATCAGCGCAGTATTTTCCAGCTTGGTGAAATAAATAACAAAATAGGTTGGTGGTGGCGAACGAGTTACCTTGTACTATCCAGCATAAGCACCACCAATAAAGTCAGTCTCTGGGGGCTTTCGGAAGAATTATGCTATGTAATATCTATGGTCCTGTTGTGTATGGGTACGATGGGTACGGACGAAAACATAATTAAGCGCATAAAAATTCAACCATTGTGATGACTTGGGCATGGACGACAATGCTACAGCGAAAAGATTCTGCTTATAATCGCCATTCATGAAGGGGTAACGAAAGCAACGGCGCCAATCTGGCGAATCTAACATAACCTAACGGTATTGTTGGCCATCATAAATACTCAACGTACAATAACTCTGCACAAACACTTCGTCGAAGAGCTTCATAAGCTTAAGTCCATAAAAAGTAGATATCTGATGAAATGCATCTCGAATTTCAATTTATTTTAGGAAACTTGTTTGCTGTGACTTAAAACCCATTTCTTTTTAATTTTGTTTCCTTAACCTTCTACACAAAGCTCTATAACACTGTGCGACTGCCGAAACCAGCCTGACTTTGGTAACACTTTCTGAAAGTATACCCATTCAGTAGTAGTAAACTCGATGTCCCGGCCTCAGTAATTTTCAAACAAGTGGAAAAATGGTTAAAATAAATGTCTAAGCGAAATTAAAGGTTAAGACATATATAGTAAAATGTCATGGGAAATACTTTCGTAGAACATTTTAACCCATTAGCTGCTGCCTGAAAGGGTCATTTTGACCCTTATTTCAAGAAAACTCGCAAAAAAAACAAATTTGGAAGGTTGTTAGAGAACTGATATAGTCTAGAATATTATTCTTAGGAAAATTTTACTAGGGGTCTTCTCAGGCAAAAACTTTATGCCACCCACCAACGTAAAAGACCCTATAAAACTAAAACAAAAAGTCTATGCCAAGAGGGAATAACAGCCAAACTCAGTTTCAAACAATTTTTCGTAGAAAAAAAAAGGTTTTTTTTGCTCATTTTTATTACATTTTTTTTTATAGGCTCTTACGTTGGTGAATTTTTTGTCTAAGAAGACCCCTAGTAAAATTTAACTAACGAACTTCTAAACTTGCTTTTTGCGGGGTTACTTGAAGTGAGGGTCAAAACAATCCTTTCAAGCGGGAGCTAATGGGTTAGAACGTTCTACGAAAATATTTCCTACGAAATTTAACCATATATGTATGTATTCGCCTTTAATTTCGCTGAGGCATTTGTTTTAACCATTTTTCCATTTGTTTAAAAAATACTTAGGCCGGTAAGTGAAAACTTTAGTAGGCCATAAAATAAAAGTACGAACTAACTTTTGCAAATCCATTGAGCGTTTTATTTCTGGATATGTATACTTTCAGAAAATATTAGCAAAGTCCGAGCTATTTTGAATTGTCACAAAATTGTCGCACAGTGTAATCATTGAACTCATTTTTTATTTCTCTGCATTCTTTTAATTTAAAGCTTTTTTGCCAAACATTTCTCTGTACACATATATGTATGTACTTACATGTAAAAAACACGCTCATATAATTAAGAATCTTATATTGAAAAATTATAAGCATGCGCAGCGTTAGGAATGGCGCATCCTGCAATATCACATTGAGCACAATGGCCCAGATATCGATGCCACAACAACAGCCATCACAGCAATCGGTGGTTCTAAGTAATATAAAAGCATAATTAAGTGAAAGCAAAGAACTTTGTAAAAATAAATGCCAATTGAACGCAACTTACTCGTCACTTCGATTTAGACCACCGCCTCTTGGTCGACGCGCTCTCGTCGCCGATAAAACAATAGTGAATTGCATCAAACTCCAGGACCAAATGCCCAAGGTGAGAAATACCAAGAGAGGTATTTTTATAATGTTGACATCTTTGTAGGATTCGAAAAACTCCATGATGTCCGCAGCGGTGCCTAGGATATGATAGTGATGATATTTTATTAAGAACATTAAATATTTTTAATAAATAAATTTATAGTCACACAACCAAAACATTTTCATTATTTAAATACGGTCTCTCTGTAGAAGAAAATCACGTAAATACACATACATATTTAACCTCTCACCTATATAAACGAGCAGCAGCTGACTTAGCTGATCGCGTGTCAAATCGCCTTTTGGCAACATCCAACGGCCCACAATTAGAATTAACATCAAAAATTGCTCGATCAATGTTATCCATGTATCCGGTTCTATGTTAAATGCTGGCAAATCTAAATTCTCAGCAACCTCTTGTAAAATGTTTTCATTGCTGCTATTATTGTTGCCATTTGTATTGTTGAGCTTACGCGCCACTTGATCTAATTCTAACAACCAAATAGCCGGAACAATGCTGCTTAGATATAAAAATACCGAAGGGCAAAACCTGCAGAAAACCAAATTCACATACATACATACTTATATAAATACTTACATAGGGACATACATACATACATAAAAAAAAAAATGTTAAATTAATTAAAAGCAAAGCAACAACAGTAGCAATTTCAGTAATGCAGCAAAAAGCTGTCTAAACGCACTTGTTGCATGCATAAAAAACGGTAATAAAAGGAGCGTATGAGTAAGCAAAGCAATGACAGTGAGTTAAGCACTAGGTGGCGAAGGTTACTCATACGCCATGCTGACTAAATGATTGTATGTCATACATATGTATGTATGTATGTGTGGACTTTTGACAAAACTACCTTTGTGTTTAGAGGTAAATTATACGGGACTTCCATTCAAAAATTTGATATATTTATTTAAATTTCATTAAGATATCATCTTGAACTATTTACTCCTATTAATGACTGAACATAAAAATATCATTCGACAACTCATTGAATTACAGCCTTGAGGAGAAAACGACCTTACTCGAAAGAAGTTGTTTTGTCAAAAGTCCACAGATATGTATGTATCTACGTATATGGGCAATTCTCATAAACTACGAATCTTTAGACAAATTTTGGTATTCAGATCTGTAGCTCGTTTCTGTAACAATTCTCTACCAAGGCGAATTCAGATATGAATTCACCGCCCTGTTCTCTACTGCTAATTAGTAGGTGAGAGTGACGTATTTTCTCTACCAGTAGAGATATAAACGGTAGAGAAAAGCTACAGAAACGGGCTACTAGTGACTTGGAGAAAAAGTGCCTTTGGATATTATATATATTTTGTTTATTTTTTTTTTTGGGTGTTTTTCTTATTTATTTTTCGCGAAAATTATGTGTCCGAATAAAAACTACCGAGTCATGCGAAAATTCGAACTAACTGAGAATCATCCATATACAAATGGATCCTACTTATATATGTATGTATATCGATAGATTCCATGTCCGAATAAAATCTGTTTTTGCTGCTTAAAATCGGTCGCCCCTCACAGGCATTAACGAACCTCCGAGTGTATTTATGTACGTATACCACCAAAGCCTTTCCTTATTCCGGCCATCCCATTAAATGTGATGAAGGTTAAGCAGCTAAAATTGCCAATACTCACATACCTAAGAAAAATATCAAACGGATAGTGGCAGGTGTGGTTGGTTGTTTGTTTGGTTGAAGTGGCGAGTTTAACAACACCAATAAGCACTTATGCGTGCAACAGTAGAAGCCGGTAATTCCTCCAAATCCACCTCGGGCAGCTCAAGAACTTAAGAAGTTGCAGTGGGTTAATATCACTTATGTCCGTTACGCCGCAAACCCTTCTGCATATAAACCTAAGTCTATCCCTACACAATGCTGGGCAATTACAGAGCAGATGCTCTACAGTGTCTTCTGCATCTGGTAAGTAACAGCTACGACAAGAAAGGTTTGTTCCAGTCCTAGTCTCTGCAGTATGGATTTCCATGGCTCAGTACCCTGTTTAAAGGGCAGTTAGTCGAGATAAATCCATCCTGTTCAGTTTGATGAGAAATTCAGTGCAGTTACCGCAGTAGCTGAGCCGAAGACTCCAGCAGACCCTACAGGATTGTAGGTCTTCCACCTACTGTTGGCCATCTTTTTTCAGTACCGAGACATGCGGCCCTTGATATACATAGCTCAAAGGCATAATAACCTCCTCTGCCTCTGAGATAAAGAGCCGACCCATTCCTGGGCAGCTCGCCAGCCATCTTGTTGCCATGACTTCTGCCGTGCCCCGGCACCCAAATCAGTGCAACGACATGCCTGTAAGCTTAAGCCATAACGTTCCCTGCACTGTTTTATTATGCTGGAGGTGATGCTTACAGAGCCAAGTGCCTTGATCGCTGCCTGACTTTCCGAGAAAATAGCAATTCTGGTTCTCGCTAGCTTCGAGGCTAAAATTATTTTGCACGCCTCTTTTATGGAAAAGAAATCTGCCTGAAAATCACTGCGCGCATGTACTCTTCGATTTGGAGATTAGTTGAAAAAATTCCCGGCCCCAAGTCGCGATCCATTTTTGAGCTGTCCGTAAATATAGACACTTCGAAACGTTGAGTAAAAGTAGGCTCATTCCACTCCTTTCTTGGTGGAAACACGTGCCGAAGTTTTTCTTGAAGAGAAGCAAAGGACAGATGTAGTCAGATTTTGCGCGAATGCTTGGGTCATTGAAAGAGCACAGGATACGTCCATGCCTGTACGTATATACGTTCTTTACACAGCATAAGTTCGCTCAACACACAGTGAAGCACTTTGCTTAATAAAGGCATTAATCGGTGGCAAATGACAGATGACATTCAATGCTTCCGTTGGACATGATCTTACCGCAACAGTATTCTGAATGCAGGCTGACCTTTGTACCCTGCCTAATATTGTGTGTATATAGTTGGTCTTTACGGCTTTCCACCAAACCAACAATAATTGAGCGGAACACCGCCTTGTACATAAATAACATAAGATCAGGTCGTAGGTCCCACTTCTTAATCAGCATTTTCTTGCAGAAATGCAACCTTTTTTACTCGGTGCTCTGTATTCATTTTTCAATTTAAAGAAAAGGAAGAGTATGCCCATTGGAGGAAGGTTGAGTTAAAATTAAGAACCATTTCCTTGGGGTGAATAATATTAAATTGGTCTTCGAGCGATTAACGTTGAGAACTCCGCTATCGGCTCAAAAATCCAATTCCCCTAGTCCACTTTGAAGCATTCGGCCTATCACATTTGTAATCCAGATACCATAATTACTACATCGTTTGTGTACGCGACAACTTTGACCCTTTCCCTGTTAAGTCTTATAAGAATGTTTTTGAATATGCGAAACCACAATAGTTGCCGTTAGTTTTAAGGCAAACCTCAAACCAACAGAAGAATGGTGTGCTGAAAAGGGCTTGTCGGTAAACCCACTTAAGTCGACCTTCTTACCATTCTCCAATGGAAGGAAGATTAACTAGATCCAGCCGAATGTGGGACGGACAAAGGTTAAGAACGCAAAAGAAGCAACATTTCTGAAAGTGAATCTGGATAAAAGACTCAATAAGAACTAAGGTTTCACAACAGTTACCAGCATTTAAGCGATTGCCGAATATACACAGCATAAAGAGTGGAGATTTTAAGAATTATTTAGGGATCTTAAAAATATTCCTTAATTACCCATTCACTGACAGCGACTGCAAATGCTGCTAAACAAAGCGGGAATGTATAAAAATTATGCCGTGTGATGGGTTGAAGATTATGAAAGGTTTGATTACAACGAAAGCGTTGATACTGTGAACTTCTAAGAAGATTTCCACACAATGGCGCACATGTAGGAGAAGACGAAGTTCAGGAGGTTCATAGCCCCCTCTAAAAGAGTCTCTGAGGAACAGCTCAATCTTAGATGGAGGGCGTAGGAAGCAGACGTTGCAAGTTAAGGTATCATCTTAGTAAGACGGGACTAGGGACACGAATTTCGATACGATACGATACCATATCGATACTTTTGGCATTCGATGCCGATATTTTCTACTCAATAGTTTTAAAACGATATTTTTTGGAATCGAGTACCAGAACTCTAATATCGTATTGAATGTCATAAACTCACATTACAAGGATAATGCTATTAACAATTCCTCCCGATACATATACATATATATATAGTTAGGATTGCATGTGGTGGAATTTGACACCGCGACCTCGGTGTTTTAAGTGAACACATCAATCTCTACGTGCCGTTACACAATATGTTAGTGTTTGACCGACATTCTCCTCCGATTTGTCGCGCGCGCCTTAATGTTGTGGCACAAAAGGTCCTACAGGTCCCTACAGTTTTATGTCGACTCTGAACGGCGATTTTGTTTTAATGGGAAGCTGTTTTTCATTTTCAAGCTTTGCGCACTGCTAACCATTACACCACAGCGGCCTATATACGAGACCTATATTTAGATACATTTTTTGGTTTTTGGTATCGATATATGGAATATCGAGTCTTTTTATTCCGATATTAATGGGTACCCGATATTTTGGAAGTGATACTTTAAATGAGTACCATATCGATACTTTCTGTTCGATACGTGTCCCTAGGCGGGGCTGCCTGAAGAGACGGGGCTGCCTGAAGAGACGGGGCGAATTTTTAAAGAGCGTCATCCGGAATTAGTTTGAAATGGAAACAATTGGGCATTAATTAGACGCAATTAGTATCATAGGGTAATATTGGAGATCAATTAGTCCGGACTGATCCGTTTCGGAAATAATTGGAGATCAATTAGTTTGTGAGAGAGCATATGCTTAGCAAACCTGAGAGCCCGGTTCGAATCGCTGCTGGCGCAAATTTTAATTTAAATTTTTTAACAGCGACTACTCGCTTTTTATACACATTTGGGAGTAATGAGAACAATTAGTTTTTTCATAGGACATGCTCGAACTAGAGTGAAAGTGATATTAGTCGCATGTCCTTTGGTGATTGCTCCCGGAGCCATATCGCATTATTCGTATTTTTGCAGGGATTGATGTTGGCAAACAATTTTTTTTTTTTTTTTGGTAAAGCATTTGTTTATGAGTAAGTGTGTATATGTTTTATATATGCACATATACGAAGGCATAGATTCGAAAAATCTCCATTCCATAGCATTAAATCTTCCAAACAAACGCTCCGAACACTTACAGACACATACAAAGTAAATGTTGAATTCACCAAAGAAAAGTAATGGCTATCCGCCGGCAAACCAGCTGATAGAAAATGTGCTTATATGTATGCATGTAGTGGTATGTATGAGCTGCGCGTGCAAGTACAGGCTGGAAGTTGCGCATTTTGCTGCGCTGCACAAACACCATTAAATTACATTTGGGTGCGGGAGTGTTGGCGCAATTACATACACATTTACACACATCCATGCATATGTATTTATATTTTATGTAATGGGATTTCACTTTTAATTGAAAATCAAAGTTAACCAACAAGCAAAATGACGCAATCGCATTGTTTACATTGGAGTAAAATCAAACACACAGACACGCAGCGTACAGTGGTACAGCCCCATACCTTTTGTTGGAAGAAATTAGAAGGAGTCGGCGTAGAACCTCAATTTTCCGTATTTTAAAGCATTCCTCCCGTATAAACCTAACCTCAAAAACATTTTAAAAATTCCATAAAAAGTGCACCGATGAATATATGAGTCCGAAATTTTGTCCATATATTTGTAATAACATTTTGTGTGAATCCTCAAAAATTGGGCGTAATCGGTTTATTTCAAAGCATATCACCCATACAAATCTAATCCCAAAAACGCCCTAAAAAGTCTGTAAAAAGCGGCCCGATGAACATATCATTCCGAAATTTTGTCGCAACATTTTTTTCAGAAATCGACAGAAAATATTCCGGTCTTTAATTTTTTTATATTTAGTAAGAAGGCGAACAAAGTGGAAGAAATTATAGCTTTTGTCCATCAAAAGTGTTTTTAAATTTTTAAGAACGAACTGTGCGCTTTGGAGCGCAAGTGTCAAAGTTAGCATTTATAAAGTGTCATTTTTGTCTGCTTATATTTATTAAAATACTTAGTCAATCGCTCTGATTTTTTCTCCATGTATTTTGTCTGGTAAGTGCTATATTTTCATATGAATCTACAAAAACCATAAACACAAAAGTTATAAGAGAAACACATTGCTTAAGTGAACAAAAATCTCAATCAGTTTTAGTTGCACAAAACTCTTCTGACTTTTGTTGCTTTTATTTTATATAAAACTGCCAATTTCGTACATTTTTATAATGAATTTTTCTTATTCAAATATCACTCAAAAAATTTAATTTTTGCCGATTAAGCACCACTGTGCAGCGTGCCGATAAAACATGAATCAGGTGAGAAAATTTTCGCAGGATAATTATTAATTAAGGATTTTTGGAAAGCACTTATATATGTATGTATATACACCCGAGTACACACACACATACATATATACGTTGACATATGTACATACCTACATATGCTTTATTAAGAAAATAAATTCAAATTTGTTAGGCGCTTACATTAACTGCTTGCAATTAAATAGAAACAAAAGAAAACCGAAAACAATATAGTAAATACGTTCAACTACATAAATCCAATGAAAAAAATCAAAAATCAATTACATGACCCCATACCACCGCCATTCCTGCGTCTTCTTGATCATCAGCGTGAAGATGCCTTCGAGCAGAAGCAACACCAGCGGTGCACATAGTGACCAATAGATGTAGTTTCTGGTATTGACGGTCACTTGCCAAATAGCTAGGATGCTGTGCGCGCCGAAGAACATACGCGTCAAAATCGCTTTGAATGTCGATAAGATTTTCGCCATTGTTTCATAATTACTACTTTGTGCTATTTTACTCCATTGACATAGTAGTAGGCATACACACACACACTCTCACCAATGTAACACACATATTTGCTCTCAATAACTACAAGTCACAGAATGTTTGAAGAAAAACCGTTAAATTTGTTAAAATTTTTAAGAACGAACTGTGCGCTTTGGAGCGCAAACCGCAACTAAAAGTGCAAAAATGCTCTAAACGCTTGCTAAACGCTTTGACCACCAACGTTTAGGCGCATTAGTACTGACAATATTTAAAGGTGCTGGAATGAGGGTGTGTAAATAAGTACATTCATTGTGTTGTTCACTGAGTTACTTGTATAACTAATATAAGGTAAGAAAGTAATCGGTATTTTGATTACGGTGTGCGTCTTGGTGTTGTCACACAAATACCAATTTTATGGCGCCTTCGAACGGCAGTTGAATTTTTATGAGTGACTTTTTCGTGGCACAAATATAGAGGTTTAGAAATTCCACCGAAATTGGAACTCACATCTAATCACTACCACGAAGATGTAGATATAATTTGGAAGTCTTCGTAGTTCACAAAAATTTTTTCGCATAACGATTGTTTGTAATGCTTAGCTAGCGAGCTAATTGTAAATAAAAATCCACAAGAAAGTCGACCCCGCCATACGTGCCAACAACCGCGGTATCAGCCTTTTACGAATTGGGTACAAGGTCTTATCGAGCGCATTGTTTGAAAGCCGGAATCCCAACGTCAACGAACTGATTAGGACTTATCAGTGAGGCGTTAGAGCTGACTAGCCCCACATAGACCAGGTATTGGCAATACGCCAATTCTTGGAAAAGACTCGGAAGAATAGGATCGATAGACATCAAATATTTGTCGATTTCAAAGCCGCTTTCGACAGCACGAAAAGGCCACGATGTCTAAATTTGATATTTCCGCGAAACTAATACGGCTGTGGAAAATTACGTTGAGCAATATCACCAGCTCCATCAAAATTGGGAAAGACCTCTCTGAGCCGTTCGCCCCCCAAACGGCATTTCAGACAAGGTGAGTCCCTTTCGTGTGATTTAAAAATTTCGACAGAAAGCTTTCTTAACCCTCTCTCGATTCGAAACTACATTTCCTACTTATACTCATTGTAGTAAAAATATACAGCTTCAGTGTGTTTTCAATACAATTTGTTAATAAACAGTAACCGTAACCGAAGGATTTAGAAAATCAGGTATTAAATCAAGGATAATCATAACAAAAATATAAATAAAGAAGAGACATTCTAGAATTTGGCTCATTATCTAACAAAAACCGTGTAAGTAAAAATTTCAAACTTTGTACAAAAAACTGGCGAAATTCGAAAAAGCTTCATCAAAGTTTTGAGCTTTTTAATTCGAGTTGTTAGAAACATTATAGGTATTTTATTATAATTAACTGCAAATTTTAAGAGCTAAGATTTGCCGTTGATTTTTGGCAATATTCTTTGTGGAAGGTGTTGCAGATTTTCTCCATAAAAACAAATTTTTTCGAACATACATACTTTGTAAGGAAGAAAATGCGCGAAAAAAATTACCAAAAATCAATGGTAAGTCCTAGCTACTTCAAAATTGAACTTTATTATAACTAAATTTAAAAAAAACTGCATTCTCAAAAAAGTAAATAACATGGAATGAAGCGTGGAAGAAGGTAAAAAAATCGGCTAAGAATCGGCCAAAAACGGCAGATGCCGATGCCGATGCCAATTCTTTTGGGCGATACTAGCCGATGCCGACTGATCGGTCGCACTCTTATTTATGGACTTTTTCCTAAAAAGTTCGCAAAATAAAAAGAATCCAGGATTCTTGGCCAGGAGGTCCTGGGGTCAAATGACCATTGATAACTTTCTTCCACGACAATATTTTGCCGCGGACTTTTACAACATCGCAAAAAATAGCTGTTATTTTCGGTCCCTGGTCTTCTTAATTTGAACTTAAAGCTCAAATCAGTGAACAAACGCTTACGTCCCGATGTGCTACTTTCTACTACTTTCTCCAATAGTAATTGTCATAATTATGTTTCTTACGATGACAAACGATCATAATGATGACGACTTTCGATTTTTTTTTTTCGTGCCGCCACGTATATGTATATGTACATATATACATACACACATGTTTTTGTAGCTATTGGTTTCGCTATCTTTTAACTGCCATTCATGCTGACCTGCGGTCGAAACACTAAAATAAACAATGTTTACAGCACGCCGCGAAAACGCGCGATTCCGTTGCATGTGTGGGTGAGAATGATTTTTTATTTCGCCCCACTATGACACACACAAGTTCTAATAAGTTTCTTGAAAAGTAACTATTGCAGACAATTTAATGACGTTGCCCACACCTAAACCCCGCTGGTTAGTGGTCGCTACCTTTTTATATACTATGTATATATGTATGTGGCAAATGGGGGTGGCGGGTGATTGTGGTGGTGACCACTAAATTGTTTAAATACGCCCCTCCCACTTCTAAAGTACTAAGTAAGTACATGACACTGGCTTTTAACACTTAAATCACGTGAGGTCAATGTGATTTGTGCAATTATTGATATTCGCAAGCGACTCTAATAACGGTTCAATAGCAGGATATCTTTGATGAGAAAGTGAATAAACTCTGTATTTAGCTTAAGTATCGCTGATATGTATGTACATTAGGCATATTTTAAGACGTCCAACAAAATATTTCGGAAAAATATTAAGATTTAAGCGAGATGGGCCGATTTGAAAATACCTCCAAAAATGGAGTTTTTTATGAACAAAAATAGTTTCTTAAAGAACTTTTTGAAAAAAGTTCGTGACAGGTCTCCAAGCCAGTCCGGCTCAACAACATCGCCAGCAGCAGTGTAATAGGTATCCCGCAGTCATACCGCACCCGAAACCCGGGGATAGACACTGGGGCATAGCGTAGATTGTAGAGGCTGCACCAAAATTATGAAGCTGGAAGTAATACTCCGTCCATTTTCCTGCCAAGAAGCGCTGACAAATCGGCAAATTGGCGATGGGGCTGCTAAGGGCGCAAAACGACGGTCGTAACACATCAGCGTGGCGCGCCATCTCGAGCAGAATTGAGGACGCTGGCCTGCATCTTAACATGGGCATAGACGAAGACTCATACAACAGCGTCAGAAGAGCTGGAAATAAGCTGAACTATAGGTTCAGCTATGTTACAATGAGCCCCTGGCAACAAAATTCAGCGGAAGAAAAGAAGGAATGTGGCGAGGAAGAAATGCAGGTGGACGAAAATCCCCGTGCTTCAAAAGCAGCCCTCACCTCCAGCCTAATCTTCAAACCCGCGAGGCACCAGCCAGCAAGATTCAGAGGCTCATACACAGAGGTAGGTACCCTCAACACAGAATCTAATGGATGGACTGGACCTAGGAAGGTTTGAGCTTAAGGGGAAAAGCGAGAGCGACCTAGGCTCTTCGACCTCGGCGAACAATGATACCCACCGCCCTTGAAAGTGATCCAGATCAACCAGCTGGCATGTTGTTGTTGTAACAGCATACAAATTCCCCAAAGTTTTTAGAGAGTGATGATGGAGTGACAGTCCTTGGCAGGATATAAATCCGGCTTGTTCCGGTTGCGTAGACCCGACTGTCGTGGGAACGTAAACAATCTGCTCTTTTGCCACAGTGCCAGCCCACTTACTCAATTACGTGAACACGCCTATTATGTTGATAAGGATTTTTTTTGTATTGAATTTTTATTACAAAAATTACTTGAGAAAGGAATTTAAATTGTCGTCTTACAACTCTATTCTGTATCAGTAACAAATGTTTGTTACAGTTTTGTTACCATATAGCGCGTGTTTGAACCGAATTCTGAAATAGGATGTTTTTGAGACAGGGCGTTTTCGAACTGGCTGCCGAGATAGGTCGATCTTCCACTCAACAGTCGATATACTGGTTACTGTGTATATACATATATTCATCTTTCTCTTACGGTCAACCAAAACCAAAACAGCGCTTATCAGTTATTCTTGAAAATATAAAAACGTTTCTTTTTTACATAAGTGTGTGCATTTTATCCTAGAGAAAAGCATAATAATAATAACATATTAGCGCTGACACGCGTGCGCTTTGATGTTGTCACTCAAAGGGGAGGGACTTACACAAGGCGAATTAATATAAGGTGATAGCAGGAGTACAAAAACAAAAATGTACATGTATTTTGTTTTTGCTTTGGCGGCATAAACTGTCAAAATCTGTAAGAGTGTGTGTAGAAATTCAAACAAAATTTTTCAATTTGATATCAGAAGCCGTGCGGCGAAACACATACACGAAATCAGCTGAGCTAGTAACACCACCTTATATACATTCGCCTTGGACTTACAGCTCTACGCCGACTCCGAACGGCGATTTATTTTCATGAGAAGCTTTTTTTCAGGCCGGAAATAAACTCGGAGGTTTGCCATTGCCTGCCGAAGCGACCGCTTTTAGAACAACTTTTTTCTTTCTTTTTTTTTATGTTGTGTTGCACCGGGCCCTTGAAATGGTAGTGCGCACTGCTAACTATTGCACCCTGAAAAATGGTAAAAGGGAAAAATTCTGGAAGCTGGTCATGCATTTTTACCTCCTATGAAGTATTTTGGAATGGTGGGGGTCAATTTTATAGAAATGTAATTTTTGTATGGGGCCTTCCAAAGCAGAGGACATAGAGGTATGTTCCAATAGTGGGGTCTATGGTACATTTAATCCCATTAGAGGCAACTCTTGGGTAACTATGACCATTTTGTCGTACAGATATAATATATATATATGGAATTTGTCATTGTTACAAGGTCTTGCAAAGTCTGGCTTAAGCAGTATTCAAAAGAAGGGATGAAAAAGAGTCTCACAGAAAAATTTTAGGAAAGTACCAAAAAAGTTCGACTTAGTTGATATTTTTTGACGAAAAAACCCCCTAGGCCCCTCCCAAATAAATTTTTCCAGCGTCCTGATACACCACTGTGATGAAGAACAGACCATGTCCATTTCATTTTTGTACTTTTCAAAAAACAAACTTTCAAAACTTCAAATTTCACCTACAAAAAAATAACAAAGTGGGCTTTAAAACACCAAAGGATAACTTTTTCTATGCAATTGGAAATTTCTTAACAAGTGGGAATTATCAAAACATTAAAATTCCATTTTATTTTTTTTCCTGCTTAAGTCGTCATATGGCTCATTGTGCGTCGGTAACGATGTTTAATTGCGAATTAGGGCCGGTTGTTCAATGACTGGTTATCACCATGATAAAAACATTACAAGTAGTCTGTTCGTCAGGCAGATAATTACCACAAATTATCAGGTTTTGGCGTTCGCGTACGCAAAAAACTTGCCAAGTAGGGGAAATTGAGAGCGCATAGTGACAGTTGATTTGGAGGGGAAGTTCCTAATTCCTGCTGGAAACATTTTTACCAGCAGCAATTTGCCAGCAAGAAAAACAGCTGATCAAAAACATCTGTTTGCAATTTATGAAATTTATGAAATTTATTTTGATGGTTTTTCAGTTTAATTTACCTTGCACGTCTAGCAAATATCGCGGAATAAAGGAAATACTTATTTACTTACGTTTTCTTAGGAAATAACATTAGGCAAACCTTAAATTTATATTATTTTCGTGTTTTCCGGGGTTCTTCATAATGTCAAAATGATGTGTTTCGTGTAATATGAATTCGCCTTGTTTACAACAAACCCATCATTTTGACATAAGGAAGTACCGCGGCGAAAATCTAAATTCGCCAGTAACACCACCTGGTATAAATTCGCCTTGCCTTGAGCGAATAACCTCATATGTTGGTAACAAATTCGCTGCCGTCTCTAATTTTTATCGGAAATTTATCGAAAACAGTTTTTCTGAGTACGAAAAGTAAAGTTTATACATGTGTAAATCTACAATTTAATACGGAAACCTACAAATATTTAGCAATTGTAATTTGGGAAGCGAACAGTAATTCAGAGTGTCATAGGAAAATAGTATAAGAATCCGAACGTTCAAAAGCTTAATTCGTGCACAAATTAGTTATAAGGCTTTTAATATAATTAAAGAGGCAATTTTTAAAGAAAGTGTGTTTGCTTAAATTTTTTTGTAATATTTGCCATAAATTAGATTTTAGCTAAAACTTTGGAACATATATATATATACTATTTATAAATCTATCATGTTTCCTATTGAATGACATCAAAATTTTTAGTATTCGTGCAACGGTTTTCGAAATGTTTGGATTTGAAAAAAGCGCTGCATTCGTCGCCTGCGTAAAAGAATGTCGTATGTTACGTATGTACGTATGACGCTTACGACAATCTTTTACCCATGCGACGATTTGAGCTTTCGTAACTACCGTAGTTGTCATTAGCGCCCCAAAAAAATTATACCGTTATACTTGTCTCAAAAACTTCTATCGAACTTATTTTTTTATTTTAATTTCCCCACTGTTCGAATTCTTAGTTTGTTCCGCGCTTTTTTATCAAAATTAAAAAAAAATTATTACAGAAGCATATCTGACACATGAAGAAGCCACAAATATCTGACATAGCCTTTACCAAAGCAGCCCTGAGTGTGCTTTCCATTTTCTATTATCCAACAACGTGTTGTCGCACAAAAGGGAATGTCAATTTTTGACAAGTTGTCAGATTTTATTTAAAAGCAAACTCAGAAACAATCGGAAGGAACTTTTTTGAAAACTATTGGAATTTTGGCCATTTGCACTTTTATTATCAATTAAAAGTTAAAAATAAAACACTATTGTGACTATAACACGACGCGCTTACAACAGAAAACTGTGATACGTAGTGAACGCGACGTATACAAGCTACAGAAATCTTTTTTGAAAATTGGAACAGAGATCTACGGACTAGTTGCTGGCAGTGGTAGCGGTA